ACTGCAGTCTGTGATTTCATGTGATTGTACATTGTACACTGCAGTCTGTGATTTCATAATGTGATTGTACACTGTAAACTGCAGTCTGTGATTTCATGTGATTGTACACTGTACACTGCAGTCTGTGATTTCATGTGATTGTACATTGTATGCTGCAGTCTGTGATTTCATAATGTGATTGTACATTGTACACTGCAGTCTATGATTTCATAATGTGATTGTACACTGTAGTCTATTTATATAGTGTTGTCCCGATTTATTTGGCCTACTGCACTTTTCTCAGGAAAAAAAAAATACTTACGGGCCGCCTTGGCAAGTGTGCCCATAATCCACGATGAAGTGTAATGCCTGCTTTGGCAGCCCCCCTGCATCATCCCAGTGCCCACCCCCACTCCCACCCCCACCCCCGCCAAGGGGCAGTAGCACCTTCTTTGGGAAACACTGCCCTCCAAGTAACTTTTGTATGCACTGCTTTGTTGTGGTGGTCTAGAACCCAAGCCACAATCTCTGAGGTGTGCCTACATGAGACAGTAGACATTTATAAGGGACTGCTATTTTTGCCAATGGAGCTATAGAATTAAGTCTTATTTTATGCTGTTTTAGAGTGAAAAAACTTGCAACAGCCAGTAGTTTTCTTAAAAATAAGTAAATACATGTATGTATAGCTAACCTTAAGGAGAACAAAAAAATGTGTCTTGCAAGAAGTATGGTCAGACTACTCCTTAGAGGCGAGGATGCTGAGACGCTGTCTCCGTGATTTCTCTGGACATGCTGTCAGGAGAGATCAATCCTTGAAGGACATTGTGCCTGCTAACGTGGAAGGGCAGCGAAAGAGAAGGCGCCCAGCAGCAACAAAGGACTCGGGCGTAGGAACGACTGTGAGGATGTGGCAGGACCGGGCAGTGTTTCATTCTGTTGTGCACAGGGGCATTATGGGTCGGAACTGACTTGATGGCCCCTAACCACCACCACCACCTTAAGGAGCCCTGGTGGCAAGTCAGGATACAGTACAGCACCAATGAACAATACAACTGTCCTCTAGTTCTTTAATGCTCTCTCCACTCCACTATTATGATCCCAATTCTACGTTACAAATCCGGCTAGACCAGAGGATGTACACTGGTACAGATAGGAACTAGAAACACAGGGAATCCAGGACAGATAAACCCCTCAGGACCAATAATGAGAACAGAGATACCAGGAGGGTTAGGGGAAGGTGGAGGAGAAAGGGGGAACCGATTACAAGGATCTATATATAACCCCCTCCCTGAGGGTCAGACAACAGAAAAGTGGGTGAAGGGACACATCGGACAGGGTAAGACATGGAAAAATAATAATTTATAAATTATCAAGGGTTCGTGGGGGAGAAAGGGTACAAAAATGAGGAGCTGATACAAGGGCTCAAGTAGAAAGACAATGTTTTCAGAATGATGATGGCAACAAATGTACAAATGTGACACAATGGATGGATGAATGGCTTGCGATAAGAGTTGTACGAGGCCCCAATAAAATGAGTTATTTTTTTTAAGGAGCCCTGGTAGCACGCATCAGGATGCTAACTGCATGCTCACTAGGCTCTCAGTTCCTGTCAAGAGTGAGTCTCGTGGACCCTCAGGGGTACTTCTGCCCTACAGTGTCTGAGTCAGAATCCACTCAATGGCTAGTCAGTCTCTTGGTCAGCCAGGTTAGCATGTCTACCTTCTAAGTAATGCTCAACCCTCCCTTGTACAAAATCCAATCCTGCAACTTAACAGTTTGTATCCTCATCCAAGCCCATTTACCCTAAGCTTAATGAGTCAGAACTGACTCTACGGGACCTACAACGAGCTGAAGCCCATCCGTTAAAGGAGATGAACAAGCGCAGAATTATCAGCCTCCGGAGAGACAGGCTTAACCTGGGTTCTGCAGGAAGGTGACTTATGATCGGCATGGCTTCCTCTGACGATCGTTTATCGTTTTGAATGCTACTGAAGAGGCGGGACCAGCCGTGAGCCCAGGTGTGTGCACTCGTAGTCCTAGAGGACTGGCTGCCACAGGGCACTGCTTGGACACCCACAGGAAACCACGTCCACTTCCCCAGCACCCTGTCCTGTGCAAGCGCTGATCCCTCTCTGTGCGTGTGAGCGCGGCATCATCAGAGAGCTCCAGCTGTGAAACCTGGGTCCCCTGCCTCAGCCCACTGAGCGGTCAGCGCTGGCTGCCTTGGGTCCGGCTTATTTGGGTGATGGATTGGAGAACGCTGCAGCACTCCGGGAAGCTAGCTACAGGCAGAGGAAGGGCGGGGTGTCCTCTGGGGCTGCACAGGGCCCTCGGAGGACCGAAAACTATGGCTTGCCAGCTAGCCCTTGGCCTGGACAGCTGGACAGTGCTGTGGCTGTGGCTCCTGGGAGGTGCTGCTCGGCCCCGCTTTGTCAATAGAAAGCAGGCGTACTTCAGGGGAAAAGAGCCAGTCAGGAAGGCTGACGACCTGGACAAACAACTGAGTAGCCCCGTTTCCTGTGCATGGGTGGGTTCGCTCCCAGGAGAAAACACCTCCCAACAAGACTGGCCGGCAGCTATGTAGGCCCCGAGGCAGCTCAACAACAGAACCATGGGAAATGGGCACCACTGGCAAATGGACAGAATTAAGATGTTGGCAGTGCGGGTTTTTCTCAGTGGCCCCTTCATGTGCCTGCTCCTTTACTGCAGCTCAGGGCACCGGCCAGAGAGCGCACCCTTGGGTGCCCAGGGGAGAAGGAGGGCTGTGAGGATGGAGGGACCCAGAGTAGAGGGCAGCGGATTCAGACTGACAGTAGCCAAGCCTTGAACACCTTGACCCAGCGGGCCTGAATGCTTGTCTTCCTTCAGGCCAAGTCCAACTGATATCCTTTTGACTAACTCCTGTTACTTAAATGGTAATGCATGTGCTCTTACTGCTGTTTTACCTGTGTAGAGTTTCTAAGGTAGCGTCCCTAGAATAACGCCAGGTTCCAACTCATAAGTCCCCTATGTACAACGGAACGAAACACTGCCAGTCCTGTGTCATCCTGACCACTGTTCTACTCGTGCCCATGTGCCAGCATATAGTTTTAATATAATCCTTATTATCTCCATTCAATGGGCTATCTAAACCTTGATCATTTTAACCGAATTCGTTCACTATGACTTAAACCATTGGTTCCCAAACTTATTTGGCCAACTGACTCCTTTTCAGGGGAAAAAAAATTACTCGGTGCCTCCCTCCCCAGCAATGAAAGACGTTTGTATTATAGACCATAATCCAGGAGACAGTGTTGGTATCTGCTTTTGCAGCCCCCTGGGATGTTTAGAGCGCCCCCACCCCCCAGGAGGAAGTATCGCCCATTAAGGAAACATGGCTTATACCATATTTGAAGGCGGACATGACCAGGTGGAAACATTTAAAACATTAAGACCTTTTCAAAGATGGGCCTTTCTACTCCAGTAAAGAGGTACAGTCTCAAACACTCAAAGGGGCAGTTCTGCCCCGTCCTACAAGACCCCTAAGAGTTGGCATCAACTGGCACTGCTGAGTTGGCAGTGAGTCTGGTAGTCTGGGGTTGTTTTTATGGGGACTGATAAGAAATCACCTATTTTTCGTCAATCAAGGCTGAGTGGCTATAACAATCAATCACACCCACGCCCCCAACTCAGCATTTGCTCCTTACTAGTTGTTTGTTTTGTTTTGTTACGTGCAGCCATGCTGTTGACAACACTCTGCTGTCTAAATAGTTCTAAGTTCTGTGCTGTGGAAATAAAGGTGACCTTATGCAAAACAGAAACAAGGAGACACATCACAACAGATGAACAAAGCTGTGGGATGTAACAATTGTTGAACTGCAGCCTTAACTTTTCCCACTGAGCTTGACCCGTGTCACACTAGGACTACAGGGAACAGTTTGAGATAAGCACTGTGCTACTTAATGCACCCACACGGACCCACGTAAACTTCAAGAATAAGACAGACGTGCGGCAAAGGTTAAAACACAAAGAGGCTTCAAAAAGTTCGTAGGAAAACTCCTTCTCTTTTCATTTCATTTTCCCATGAACTTTCCCCCCCTGCATGAGCTCTCTGAAGCCCCTCGCATGTGAACTGGGGGAGAAAGAACGGTCCAAAGGGTCATTTTTCTCAATTATAATCTATATCCACGGGTTTCTCCCCGAGCAATAATTCTCACCAGCATCATCAGGGACACATGGTTGCAAATCCTGAAAGTTACAAATCATTCACAGACATGTTAACTTGAAAGGTACATTTTATTACAAAATGTTACTTAATAAGTCATTACATTTTTTTATCTTATTTTTTACAGCCTTCTAAAAGTTTAGAACCTTGAAAACGAACAGAAAACACCAGTAGGGCGATCGCTGGACAGAGATGCGGGCAGGTTCGGGTTGCAGTAACAGGAGCAGTCTTCCAGCAGAGCAGACACAGAGGGATTTTCAAGGGTTTGGTGCTGTGACTTGATTAACCAACCCTGTGTTCACTCAGGCTGTGAGTAGATGGACATTTGTGTGTACATTTAGCCACCTGTCTGATTATTTCCTCAACATAAAGTCCTCCTTATTACAGCATATGAGCATTGTTCTGTAGCTTTTTACATGCAAATTGGAAAGTGCACTGATGATAAGAAGCGAGTGTCTGGGCTGTCCCCACTCCTGAGAGCCGATGTGAGAGAAGACTCCCAGCACTCTCCCAGGATGCAGGACACCCGGGCCGGGCCCTTCCCTGGTCACTGCCCCTTCTTGGGAAAGGCGGCCACCATATACTTTTACCGAACGCTCTTTTATGCCTGGCTAATTTTTGTGTTGATTACCACTGCATATTCGGCTGTGTGAATAAGCCACACTTTATTCATCCAGTCTACTGCTGACAGAATCTGGGTGGTTTCCAATCTAAGGCTGTAGCACACAGGGTTGCTATGAACATTCTTGTGCACGTTTCTTGGCCAATAAATACACACATGTCCTGACATACGTAAGCAGCCCTGGTGGCATCAGTTCCGAGTGGGGCCGCTAATCCCAGGGCCACTCTTCAGGAGAAAGACAAGGCTTGCTACTCCGGTGAAGCCAGTCTCGGGAACCCACGCACAGGGGCAGTTCTAGTCACCAGGAGTCAGAATTGACTCAGTGGCAGTGTTTGTCTTTGCTTTTATTTATTTAGTATATACTCAACTATAAGCCTATCTATCAGCCGAGGCTCCTAATTTTACCACAAAAACGGCATTTAAAGGGTGCTGGAAAAAACATGGCTTATACACGAGTAAGTACGGTATTTATTCTTGCTGCTGTTGCGATGAACAAGTATCCACTTAAAACACCATAAGACACTAAACCTCTCCCCATAAGAAGTTACTGGAGAGACACAGGTATAGTTCAGAGGTCAGCTGTAAAGTCATTGCCCACTAACCCCTCTCCCCAGGTTGTTGAAGGGCCTGGTGCTTATGCACACAGGGTGAGACCTCTACTGTGTGTGTACATACAGTGAGGCTTGTGCCCTGTGTATGTACGCATGGTGAGATTTGTCCCATGTATCCACAGGGTAAGATTTGTGCCCTGTGTGTCCAGACAGTAAGACCAGTGTGTGTCTACACAGCAAGATCTGTGTCCTGTGTATGCACACAGGATGAGGCCTGTACCCTGTGTGTCCACACAGCAAGATCTGTGTCCTGTGTATGCACACAGGATGAGGCCTGTACCCTGTGTGTCCACACAGTAAAATCTGTGCCCTGTGTGTCCATACAGTAAGATCTGTGCCCTCTGTGTCCATACAGTAAGATCTGTACCCTGTGTGTCCATAGTGTAAGATCTGTACCCTGTGTGTCCACACAGTCCACCCTGTGTCCTGTGTATGTACACAGTAAGATCTGTGTCCTGTGTGTCCACACAATAAGATCTGTGTCCTGTATATGCATACAGGGTGAGCCTGTACCCTGTGTATGCACACGGGGTGAGACCTGTACCCTGTGTCTGTCCATACAATAAGATCTGTGTCCTGTGTACGTACGCACACGGGGTTAGACCTGTACTGTGTGTCCATACAGTAAGACCTGTACCCTGTGTGTCCACACAGTAAGATCTGTGTTCTGTGTCCTGTGTATGCACACGGGGGTGAGACCTGTACCCTGTGTGTGTTCCAGGTGCTCCACATCCCTGCTAAGTCTACCTTCAAGTTTGCATTTCAGTGGCAGGGGTGGAGAAGCAGTGGGGACAGTCCTAGTTTGCATTTCCCTGAGGACCCTGCTAGGCCCTTTTCATGTGTTTATTAATGTTTAAACCTCAGTGGTAAAGTCTCCTGCTGGCTATTTTCTTCTTAATGATTGGTAGGAATTCTTCATATACATATGAAGATTCTCAAGGATGACGACATATTCCCTAACTGCTTTCCAGAATGTCAGTGTCCCTTCCAGCAGTCTATACGGCTATCATCTCACCACACCATGGCCAGCCCTGAAATTCTTATCATCTGAACACTGAATAAGGAAGAACCTATTGGGGGGGGTAATCGATGCAGTTGAACTAAGGTGCTGGTGAAGAATATCAAAAGTCCCACAGACTGCCACAAGAAGAAACGGATCTGTCTTGGCAGAAGTATGGCCAGAAGGCTCCTTCGAGGCAAGGATGGTGAGACTCAGCCTCATATGCTGGACAGGTCAAAAGGAGCAAGCCAGTCCCTGGAGGAGGGCATCCTGCTCGGCCAAGTAGAGGGGCAGCCAAAAAGAGGAAGACTCTTGACAAGATGGTCTGACGCAGTAGTTGCAACAAAGGGCTCGAATCTAACAACTGTGAGGACGAACAGTATTTCACTCAGTTGTACACAGGGTCGAGGGCCCCAAACACCACCACAATATACCTGTGTTAAAGAAGCCCACGGGGCGCTGTGGGGCACGCATGGGGCTGCTAAAGGGAAGGTCGGTGATTCAAATCAGCAGCTCCTCTGCCCCCATAAAGATGGCCAGAAACCCAGTCATTGAATTAGAATCAGTCGCCTCCACAGCGGTAGGCTTGGTTTGAGTTTTTACACCTGTTTAAAACTTAAATCCAAAACACAACAGTTCACAGCTTTTGGATTTCACTGAAGAGCAACCTTTCAAAAACAAAACAAAAATAGGGTACCAACTCTGGGTTATCGACATCATCCTTGGCCAGGTAAGGAAACTGGTACAACCATCACACACTATAACCATCATTCCACAGAATGATGAAGGTAACACTCAGAAACTAGCAGATGTGAGCCTTCCAGGTTCGATTACACATTCCGCCTCCAGGTCCCCACAGGCCACACTCTGCACCCTGCCACGCCGTTGGACAGAGGACTGGAACCACAGCTTGCCAGGTGAGCAGCATCAGACCTTCCTCTCTGCAGTCCTCACAGCCCTGGTGCAGGGCAGTCTGGTGAAGGGCAAAACCCACCTCACCCCAATGGCCCGCAGACGCCAGTATCTCTGGTACCGCTTCATTGGCATGGCTGCCAGAGTCCTCAAAGGGACACGGTGGCCAGTAGGGGCACAGTCCTCAAGGAGCACAAAACACAGAACGAGAGCTCCATCAGTGTCGTGAAGACCACAGGGGTTATGTGATCACCTGAAAGCTAGACAAGAACTTAAAAGCATCATGAACTATGAAAAAACGCTCACGTTAGTCTCCTATGGTTCCCATAAACCAAGAAGCCCACACCAGCCACCATGATGTGGACTAGGACTCATGGTGACTCGGTGTGCAGAGCAAAACTGTAACACAGTTTGCAAGGGCGTGACTTTGGGGAAGTAGACAGCCAGGCCTTTCTTACAAGGCACATCTGGGTGGGTTAGAACCAGCTGCCTTTTGGTTTGTTGTCAGCCTCCTCAACATTTGCACCACGCCAGGAGCCTCCAAGGAGTCCACAGACTGTATCCTGGGTCCCTTCAGCTCCTCCTCCACAGCCTGAGGATTCAACACACCACTCCATCTTTGTTTAAAATTCTTCACATCTTTCACTGTTTTAAAAACTCAAATTCACTGCCATCAAGTAGATTCTAACTCGCAGGGTCAAAGTGTCCCTGTAGGTTTCTGAGACAGTCTTGTCTTCCTCCAGAGGCGCATACGGTGGTTTCAAACTGTGAACATGAACCTGGCATCCACTATGCAACCAAGGCTCCTCCTCTCATTGCCAAGAGCAGAAAATTCCAACATCCCCACCCAACATCGAAAGCCTTTCATCATCTGACCACACTCACCAGTCCATACTCCTCACCCATCACTTTCCACTCTGGCAAAACTAATTTACCAGGTTTCCGGCTCTCTCAACAAACTCCTAGCCCTCCCAGACCCGAGGTTATCCTCTTGTGTAAACCTCTACAACAATTACCAGGCACGCCTCCATCTCAGTTCGCCTTTCCCTGTAATTATTTCTGGGCTGGATCCCTGGAATGAGCTATGTGAAGGCAGAGGTACTGCCCTTTCCTCTGTGGACGTCCACGTCTCTGCCTCCGTGAGCACACCACTCCGTGAATTCAATGTAATGAACGAAACCTTTGTCGGCAACATCCCACCTACAGATGCAGAGCCCACACCCAGAACTTCTCGGGCCCTCTCGACCACTCTTTTTATGATCACAAGAAAAGAAGGGATTCAGGGAAGCTAGCTCTAACTCATCTAGAACACGTGGCCCACACAGGAAGGGGAGTGACTGTGGTTTCCCAGCGAGGCTGGTGTTGAATGGGCAGGGCCCCGAGGGCTGACCCGAGGGCTTACCTGATTGCCCTTGACTATGCAACTCCTAAAACCATATTGCTCCATCGCTTCTCAGCAGGGGCCTCCTGCAGGCTCCGCATACAAATGGGGTGTCCTGTAGTCAAATGGTGTGGTGACACCGTCTCTCAAACCCCCTTCCCAAATCTAAATCCCACTCCTGGAAGGCGCTTATGGGCCTTGTTTGGCATGGTTACCGACAGGGCATGGCAGGGTCGCGGAGAAAGCCATGGGACTGCTGGGGGCGGCGGGGGAAACCTGCACGGAAGCCTCGCACCAGGCTCGGCGTGGAGGCTAGGCAATCCAGGTCGGCTGGGAGACGCCGGTCTCGGCGGAGGCGCGGCCGAGTGGGAGCCATCGGGCACCACGTCCCCGCCCCCACGGCCGCCCTCACCTGCAGCCCCCAGGTACTTGACCACCTCCCGGGCAGCCAGCAGCGCGTCCTCGCCCCCGCGCGCCCTCACCTGCAGCCCCCAGGTACTTGACCACCCCCTGGGTCTTGAACACCTCCCGGGCAGCCAGCAGCGCGTCCTCGCCGTGCACCGTGTAGAAGTCGCCGCGGTCGAAGAGGCGCACCGTGGTGGTCGGCTTCTCCGGCATGTCCTGGAAGAAGCGGACAAAGCCGGCCTCGGCCACGCTCTCCAGCTGCAGCGTCTCCTTCGGCTGCACCGCCATGTCGGGGCCTCTCCTCAGCCAGGCTATAGCACGCCGTGCGACCCCGCACCCACGAAGCTGTTTCCGTCTCCCCTCCCTTGGCCCCCGAGCGGCGTCCGGCCTCGGCGGAGACGCCCAATCAGCACACAGCGCGGCGTGCTGGTGGGTGGGAGTCGATCCCGGCAGCCAATGATTAACGCGAGTGGCCCAGCTTCCCGCGCTTGCGGGCGGCGCTGTCTACTGCGCATGCTCGCTCGGGTCGCGCCGGCCTTGATTGACGCGCCACCTTCCGCGTTCCGTCCTCGGGATTTCTCAGCGGCTGCGGCGTGCAACCTAGGTAGGTGGATGGCTGGGCTGCTGGACCAGATGTGAAGTTCCCGGAAAGCTTTACGCTTTTTACGTGCCTGGAATATGAGAGAGAAATCAGGGGGAACTAACTAGTAAACTTTCCTACTCTAGTCTTGCCCAGTATTTTTTTTAAACCTGTGCACCCCTGTCCCCAATTGCCTTGGCGTCCCTTTTCGATTTTAAGCCAACTGCCAACATGAAGAGAAGCCCTGGTGGCATAATGGTTACGAGTGGGGCTGCAATTTGCAAGGTCAGCAGTTCAAAACCATCAGCCGCTCTGCGGGCCAAAGATGGGGCTTTCTACTCGCGTTAACAGTTGCAGTTTTGGAAACCCACAGAGCCAGTTCCACACTGTCCTATAGGGTCTTACGAGCCGGCATCGACGCATGGCAGTGAGTTTGGAGTTTGGAGAGCCAACATGAAGATTTCAGGTTCTTTATTCTGAACAATCACTCCTGTTGACTGGCCAAATGCACCTCACATTCAAAAAACCTTTCTGTATGCACTGTATGCCAGACTGTTCTGCGTTCTGAGAATCGCACGTGAAAAGGGGAAAGGCAATGAAAAGAAACGCTACATTGCAATTATAAATACACATTGCAATTACAACGATCCATGCGTGGATACACATGAAAACACACAAGCTGAATAGGTGTGGGAAGGCAAACGAAACTACACTCAGAATGAGGAATGGAACAAGACTTCAAAGGCTTTATAGAAAAATTGCATCTTCCCACCAACTTTTTTAAACCTCCCCCCCCCCAGCTTTCACAAAGGATAAGTCTACATATGTAGTTGCTTGTGCTAAAAATACATCCACGAACAGTAGAACATGCTAGAGGCAGAGTTCTGAAAACAGCCTTAACCAACTACCTTGAGCCTCGACTCGAGCTCAGAGACCTCAGCGTCAATTGGCACTACAACACAGGAGCCCTGGTGGCATAGTGGTGACTTGTTGGGCTGCTGACTGCAAGATCAAAACCACCAGCAGCTCTGAGGGAGAAAGACCAAGGCTGTCTGCCCCTGTGAAGTGAGACCTGGAAACCCACGGGCTCAGTTCTACCCTGCCCTAAAGGGTTGCTATCAGCCGGAAACATCTGGATGGCAGTGAGAGCTTGTGAGGGAGTCCACAAAAAGGCCCCTAGTGGTGCTTTCGGTAAATGGTTCAAACCCACCAGTCGCTTGGAAAAGATAAGGCGGTCGCTTCCAGTATAGATTAACCACGTGGAAAGCCCTATGTCGGGGCCACTATGAGTCAGAATCAATGTTGGCAGTGGGTTTGGAGTCCACACAGAAAATGTAGGGACGGGAGTCAATGAGTACAGATGTGTAGCAACAGGAGTCTAAAAGCTTGTGGTTGGGCCCAGTTATGGTGTAACTATTGTCTCCCCACCCAGCACATATTTGAGAACAACTGATCCAAAGGACTAACCCACCACGTAGACCTCCATCTGGTTCTGAGAACAGAAGCACTACAGGGAAGCTGGTTACCCTGCAGGCAGCTCTGAAAGGGATCGCTATAGGAGGTCCTGGATATAATAGAGAAATGTGAACCCAAACTCAAAATCCACAAGGGAATTAAATGTTATGGGTCTGATGGAGATTACGGTCCTTGAGCCACCTTTCCGGCCTCAATCTGAACTCAGTCCCATGGCTCAACTCTCAGCCCCCAAATCTCACTGCCTTCCAGTCAATGCTGACCCCTGTGGGTTTCTGAGACTGTAACCACAGCTACCTGTAGATAGCCACATCTTTCTCCCGCACAGCTGCTAATGGCTTCAAACTGCTGACCATGCAGATCACAGCCCAATGTGTAACCACTACTCCACCAAGGCTCCTAACCCAAAGATAATGGAAAGAGGAAACAGAAAGAGGATGTAGGAA